CACTCATCAGATGGTGGTACACTGGTGCGCACTCATCAGATGGTGGTAACCTGGGCCCTGCACTGACAAACTGCTGCATCGGCTCACCAACACTCACATGCAGCAGGTACTGTGCAGGACCCTGCACTGACACATGAACAAAGAGCAAAAATTGTTCTGCAGTCTGTTTTGATACATCATCACACAGCAGGTGTTGTTGTGGCGCATGCACTTTCACAGAGTCATGCAGAGCAGGTACTAGAGCCCACACTGATGAATAGAGAGCATGTGCTGATCTGGGCCAACACTGGTACACATGTACATTTACAGAATGGAACATCAAAGTCAGGCTCAGAGAGATCTAATGCTGAATCAATTAGTATTTTCCGCCAGTAGGTCAAATTTAAAGCATCGCTTGATGTTGTTTTTTTGGTTGCATTATACCGTTAGAACAGGCTTTATGGGAAAAAAAGGGTCCCTTGTGTTTTTTGCGTACATTCATTTTGTAACCATACTCGAACAGCAGTGAAATTCTTTCATAGTGGTTATCTTAATGAAAATTTCAATCCTCCTGCTACCACCTTCTGTCTTGAGTTGGGGTTTTGTATTTATCCATTTCAAGATAAAATAGCAAATTCCTAGAAATAAAACCAAAGGAAGCTTCTTGAACTTGAATTGCAGGTTATCTCGTCAGACATTAACTCCTCAGTGGAGGTGACCATTGTTTTCTAGGTATGTTTACAGGTATGCCTGTTGTTTCTAGGCCTTTTCTGGACATGGTGTACAATGCGCTGGACTGCACTGCTGATGATTACTACGCTCTCTTTGTCCTGTGTCTGCTTTATGCCATGTCCCACAGCAAAGGTAAAGTGATGTTTAGGCATTGTCTCTTCCTGGAAGAGACAATTAGACGTTCCAGGAAAAGGCAATCAAACGTTTAGTGCACGGCTCACTCTGTGAAACGTTCGATTTGTTGTGTTTGTCTTCGAAGGTCACGGAAATGTGACCTTTTGGCTACTCCAAACTTGTTGGAAACAATTCTCACAGGGTCAGAGTTTACACAGCCCTGTTCTAACCATAAATTGCCTGTTTGTCATAAATATGGAGCTATTTTTTGGAGCGGTTTTATGTTTTTTTTGTGAAAGTGTTTTTCCACAGTGATGTTGGTATAACTTTATTCAGTATCTCTGTCTAGGGATATGAACAATATTTCATCTTCTCCTTAAGTGAACTTATATGCACTCATATGAATACTTTTATTCCTATTATGTACCACTGGGTCCTTGTCCAACCACCTCTCTCATAACTTTACTAACCCATGACATCAACCTGATTTGCGCCCCTGTCCTTACATGAACTCTCTTTATTTGGACACTCTTACTTTAAATGAGCGGTTTCTTACTACTGGGCCAGGAATTTCCTGTTGCTCATTAACCTGTGACATGTTCGTCGAAGATGAAATTTCAGACACTGACGTATCTCATTTCGAAAGTGAGACCTCAGTTGTGTTTTAAGTTGGTTTTGTTCAGGCCTACATTAGAAATGAATGTCACGTCAAGCAAGGAGGACATTATGTGAAGAATATGAGCTTGGTTCCTTTGTTATGCCTTAGGGATCAACCCACAGCTTCTGGAGAAGATTCATCTTCCTGGACAACAGGTGGAGAGGAGCTCATACAGTCATGTCCTGGCAGAGAGACTTATTAGGGTGATGAATCAGGCTCCTCAGCCAGGTATGGCTATTCCGTGAGGTTATAGTCATACAACATAGGCAACATAGCAACATATAGCATATATGCAACATAGGTTGTTGCTACCCAAAAGTTTGCATTTCCAGTTTATAAAAATGCTTTTCTCGTAAGGGTTCTAAAACATATGTAATACATTTTTTTTTTTTTTTTTTGCCTGAAGGCAGGTTTTAGATAATGCTTGTATTTTTAGACCGTGTGAAATTCCAGTGAGATACTGGTTTGTCTACAAGATTCCTGGTCTAACACACGCAGGTGACCATAGGTAACGCGCAGGGGAGCATATTACTAACTAAAAGTTTTAATATGTAAAACCAGAGTCATGCGAAAGGCATTTACAGCCGTGACTTTTAAATCAAGTTTACCCCACAAATGTTTGTGTATTGACATGTGAGCTTTACATAGCATACATTACTCTTGAATTAATGCAGAGTGCTTTTTCATCCTTTTTGTTTGCTTTGTCCTCAAGCTTAGGGTAATGTAATGCTTTTGTAAAAGGGAAGCTGAAAATTCGATTTTTTTTTTTTCCCTCCTTAGATGGAAAGGTACGTCTGGCCACTCTTGAACTTAGCTGTCTGCTGCTGAAACAGCTGGTTCTGTCTGAAAGTGGGTGCATCATCAAAGACATTCATCTCGCCTGCTTAGAGGTAAGGAGAAATGGAAAACATCTGTTACATCTGTGTCATTAGAAGTTTGTCTAACGAGAGGACAGTATTCATTGTCTTCAGTTTCATTCACCCATTCTGTTCGACCTCATTAACCTAGACATGTATAGTACATCTTTCTGAATTAGGCAGTAGAGTTATCTGAAGAGCTTTCTTTGTTGCTTTTGTCTGTTTCCCCTCAGGGTGCCAGAGAGGAGAGTCTCCACCTGCTGCGGAGGTTTTACAAGGCAAGTGCAAACTCCAGCTCACAGTGATGTGATTTTACTTCCTGAACATGCAGTACCGGTGTCCTGTCACACTGTGTGCTTGTTGAATGTGGTACAAGCGCGGAAGCAGTTTGAATTCCTACATAATGGTTTTGTGTAACATCGCGATGATCAATCCATGATGACGGACGTTTACGGAATGCTTTCATATTTCAGATACTTGGAATTGCCTTAGCTCCAGGTTAACGCAATTGTGCCACCTCGCAAGTCGCCTGTTCCCCTCACGTTAGGGATGGATGGATGGTGCAATCCCTGTTCTTTGAAAGGCCACGCCTTTCTTTGAACAACTGTGATGAAAGTGAAAGAGTTCATTAGAGAGAGCGCTTTTATCTCCCATCATCTCTCGCTATCAACATTTGTTACCTTTAAAGCCCGGGCTGGTTATTGTAGCTAACCAAATGTTTTTTTTTTGTTGACCTGATTTTATTGTACTTCTCAAACCGAATCTTCCAGTATTGTCCTTTGAAGTGAGCAGACAAATAAACTGGAGACATGGGTGTGTCTTAAAAGCTGTGAATCAGTCGCCTTCCCTGGTGTCCGTATTTATTTTAAAGGCGAGAGCCTTTGCCGATCCCCCCTTGGCAAACTTGGAATTATCAGACTTTCTGCTTTGCCTTTCATATGAGAATTGAGTTAAGCACAAAGACTGCTGTTTCTATCTCATATCTCATGTTTTATTACATGCTAAGGCTCCTTCATAAGAATGTAACCAGGGGCTGGCCATCGAACCCATTTGGTAGTTAGTAGTTAATTTATCCAGTGATCTCATCCAGCCATTTCTTGAAAGACACCGACAGCATGGCTGGGTAGCTTGTTACATACTCCCACAACATACTCTGGGTAAACAAGTGCCTATTGTTCTCAGTTTTAAATGCACTTCCATAAGAGAACATCTGTTATCATCTATAAACAGTTGTTATTTACTACAGATCAACAGTCTGCAGATCCCAATCATTTGTCTGAATGTTTATGATATACCAATGCGCATCACTTTCGGGTTGGAAGTCCATTTTCGGTAAAGAAATCCTTATACGTGTGTATATATATGTATATGCTTATACTTGTGAAACAAGATGTTTTGATGTGTTTAATCTTTTACATTTTTGTTCATTGTGTAAAATATTACTGAGCTGAGCATTTTTTTTACAGAGCTTCGGGAAACTGCTAAAAAATTTTAAAATCTAAAAAGATACAATGTTAAGGTTAGGTCACATCTCTAGATGTGCATCTCCGTATGAAGGTTTAACATGTTAAAAGGTGTGTTGTGAAAAAGTCGCAGTTGTGGAATTTTTTTTAATTATAGAGAATGTTTTTTAGCCTTCAAGAAAACATCCTATTGCAGAGATGTTTGGGGGGGACATCAATGTGCAGTGGGGCTCTCTGACTCCCAGTGAGTGCGTGTTCACACTTTCCTTTGGAAGTCTCTGACCACTCACGGGCAGTGGGGTTTATAGGTACAGTTGTATGCAAATGTCCCACAGTCAGTGAAGAAACCGATGTTGAAAAGAGGTTGAATATTCCAACAAGAGAATGATCCAAAACATACCTCCAAATCAACCATGAACTACTTCAAGAAATGAAAGGTTAAGGTTTGGAATGGCCATCACAGTCCCCGGACTCGAATATTATTGATAATCTGTGGGTAGATCTCAAACATGCAGTGCATGCAAGTCGACCGAAGAATATTTCTGAGCTAGAAGCGTTCTGCAAGGAAGAGGGGGGGGGGGATTCCTAAAGCAAGAATTGAAAGACTGTTAGCTGGCTACAAGAAGCGTTTGGAAGCTGTGATTTCTGCCAAAGGAGGTGTTACTAAGTTCTGACTGACTTTTGCACGTGCCACATTTACGGTTTTATTTTCTCAATCTGTTAAATTTGGCAAATGAATAGTAACTGTGCATTAAAATTTGCAGAAATATGTCACATTTAAGTTGTTCGCTGCAGAGGTTGTGTAAACTCCTCTTCACTGAGAAAATCAACAAAACAGGTAATTTGGCCAGGGGTGCCCAAACCTTAGCATGCAACTGTTACAGCTATGTTGTTCTCTTTTTTCTGACGGTAGCATTTTTCACATGAACAGGGTGAAGAAATATTCCTTGATATGTTTGAAGACGAGTACAGGAGTATGACGGTAAGATTTGTTTTCTCGTCGGCTGTTTCTGTTGAAAACGTATGGAATAACAAAATCGAACGTGATGAGACCTTAACTTGCCCTGCATTCCTGTAGAGCAAGCCTCTGAACGTGGAGTACCTTATGATGGATGCTTCCATTCTTCTTCCCCCCACTGGCACGCCACTGACTGGCATCGACTTTGTGAAAAGGTTACCCTGTGGAGATGTGGAGAGGACAAGGAGGGTAAGACAGCTCACAGATCACTCTCAGACATGAAGCTCATCTTGGCGTGGCTTTGCTTCCAGGCGAAAGGCAAAGTCAACCTTGAGGAACTCTGTGCTTGTTACGGTGGTTTTATGATTTATCACAAAAGCTGAATAATGCTGATGTCTGCATTGAACAAGTGAGTTCCAATACTTTAACAAGATAAGTTTGCTCTTTGTGGATTATCTTCAAAAACTGTGCTCTGTTACTCTGTTTTAGTCTGTGAGAAGTCTCAACCTGACTTTACCGCAAAACAATGATTGTGTCAGCATCTCTGTCTCCTATGGCACAGACCTACCACTGCTCCACCTATTACAGAGGAAACCCACTGCAGCCCCATCACAACCTATTGGTTTGGACGTCCTAACTAATTTAACTGATCCATGATCCATAGTGTAATAATCTATTCAAGGTACTTTATTGAAACGCTGTCTGAACACATAATATCCATTGAAGTTTGTCTTCTTTGGTGATTATTTAAACATTCAAAGCTATATGCAGTACTGCTTAACCCACTGAAGCTCAGCAGGTGTGAGCCTGGTCAGTACCTGGATGGGAGACTTCCTGGGAGACCTCACCCTGCGGTCCATGTGGGTCCTAATGCCCCAGTATAGTGACGGGGACACTATACTGTAAACAGGCGCCGTCCTTCAGATGAGACGTAAAACTGAGGTCCTGACTCTCTGTGGT